TCCCGGGTTCCAGAGCCTTCAAGCCCTAAGCCTAAACCCTAAACCCTAAACCTTAAACCCTAAACCCTAAACCCTAAACCCTAAACCCTAAACGGTTTAGGGTTTAGGGTTTAGGGTTTAGGGTTTAGGGTCCTTCGTCTCAAGTCGTCTAAACCCTAAACCCTGAACCCTATATCTAGGACATATTCAGGTGGGTAGTTACCGCCATAGGAGCCTTATAGAAGGACTATATACCTTATGGAAGCCTTATAGAAGCCCTATATACCCTAAACTCAACACCTGTAGTTTCCCTTAACCAAGCCCTTAAAACCCCAAACCCCCAAACCCTACACCCTATATACCCAAAACCCTAAACCCTAAACCCTTTACCCTAAACCCTAAACTCTAAACCCTAAACCCTGCACCCTAAGTTTCCTTTAAAAGGAGGTCTATATACGCATATTGAACCACAAGCTGAATTCCGAAATCCATGCGGGCCAGGACCCGTTCCAAGTTCCCACGGCCGGGAGCTGGCGGGCCTCTTAAAGACAGCAGGCCAGGGAGATGAGGGTTTAGGGTTCAGGGTGTGGGGTTTAGGGTTAGGGTTTAGGGTTTAGGGTTCAGGGTTCAGGGTTTGGGGTTGAGATTCAGGGTTTAGGGTTTAGGGTTCAGGGTTTAGGGTTTAGGGTTCAGGGTTTAGGGGTTTAGGGTTTAGTTTTGAGGGGTCTAGAGGCTCCTTGAAAGGAGCCCTAAGCCCTAAGCCCTTCTAGGAACCTCTGTATCCACCCACATAAGGGACTATGAGTGCCCCCCCTCTATAAGGGGAGCTCTGAATTGGCAGGACCAGGAGCTCGCTTCTTGTTTCTTGTTTGAGGGTAAAAGGGTTTAGGGTTTTTGAAATCATACTGTTAGAGGCACTTCAGAGAGACCTCGTTCAAAAAAGGGTTTTTTGTCAGCATTTGTGGGTTTTGGAACTGTTTTTCTTTCCAGATGGTTTCTTCAAACAGCTGGGCGACGATGTTTTTTGTGTTACCAGCTGCATGTATGGGGCTGAATGAAGGGCTCAGGGCATACGAGTTGGAGGGCAAGGTTTGGGAGAGTCTAGGCTTGGGGTTCGAGGGTTCAGTTCTGTGACCATGCCCCATAATATAAGGGCTTAAAAAATAATTAGCAACACTGTTCCTTAATACATTCATGGTGTAATGTACACCAAAACCCTATTCTAATTGTTAAGGTGGCTGTATTACACTTTGCAGAGGGTTCTGTGACGGTAACAATCAGCATGGAACCTAGTCGCCTCATTTCACCCGCCATTTTGACATGCGTGCTCCGAGATCTTAAATATCACCTTAACCGGACATCTGATGTCCTAAATCCAACGCCCCAGCTTAACCTCAAACACCGTTTCGGGTTTCAGGCTTGTGGTCAAGCGGCAAGCTATCGAACTCACGACTGCCTGATTAAGGCTTTAGACTTTGGTGTTTCCTCACCCTCTTATGAAGAGCGTGTCCCGTTAAGTGGTTCCAACCTTGAACCCTACACCCTAAATTCGCCCTAAACCTCGGAGCCTAAACCATCTAGTTGCCTTAGAAACCCCCGTAGTCCCCCTTAGCGGAGCCCTAAACCCTGAACTCGTAAACCCAGGCGAGGTTATTGGTAGCCGGATGATGTGAGACAATCTTAAGGAGTAGCCACTCTCACCCTAAACCCTAAACCCTAAACCCTAAACCAATTGTTTAGCATTTTGTGGCAGGTACAGTAAGGTAGCAAGATACAAGCATACGGGCAACCGGAAGCAGGGAAGAGGTAGCAACAAAGGCTCCAGTCTGAGCTCGGACACGCTAAACCTTAAACCCTAAACCTAACCTCTAAGCCCTACGCCAATAAAACCCCTAAAACTCCTATAAACCTAAAAACTCTGAGCCCTGCGCCAATAAAGCCCCTAAAACTCCTAGCGCATTCGAAGAGCTTGGTTGCGAGGCTGGCGGCTGCTGCATTCGGAGTCCCAGCCCGAGCTTCCGCCAACCGAAGAGGCTCGGGATGTGTCTCTGTCTGTGTGTGTGTGTGGTTGTGGGTGTGTTTGGGTTTATAACTATTGTTATTACAAAAACTGTCATTATTTTCTTCCACTTATTATTCTTTACTACAACTGTGATTATTGTTATATTTCTAGTATGAACGATGAAAGGATATTGGAAGTATTCATTGTTTTTATAACAATAATGTTGATCATTAGTATTATTGCTATTCTTGTCGAACTTTACATTCTTTTATTATTGCTATTGTTGTTGCTATTCGTACTGTGTGTTTGTTTTTTGGTATTATAGCCGTTTTTATCCTTAGCATTATTGCCATTGTCATGGCAGCAACAGCAGCAACAACAACAACAACAACAACAACTACTACTACTACTACTGCTACTGCCACACTACCGCTACCACTACCCCTACTACTACTACTACTACTACTACTACTACTAGTACTACTACTACTACTACTACTACTACTACTACTAAGATGATGATGATGACGGTGATGACGATGATGATGATGATTCATATTATCGTTTTTCTTTTGGAGGGCTGGTTTAGGGATTAGCGTCGTGTGTTTTAGTGTTTAAGTCTTGGGCTGCAAAGAATGAGCTATGGGGCTTGAGGTAGGATTCATGGGTCTGAGGCTGTGTAAGGGACCTAGAAGGGCTTCAAAGGGTTTGTCGGCAGCACTCTTGTTGGGCTGCATAAGACGCCTCGCAGGTCTTCGGAAGGGCTTCAAAGCGCTGAATGATTCAATGGGGACTACTAGTTTGGCATTTCTGGGTCCTTGTGGAAGTCGAACGCAACGGCCCTGCAACCCTAAACCCCAAGCACTCAACCCTCAACCCTAAAGCCCCAAGTAGAAGTTCTCTTTCCTTCCTGTCACAGGATATGATCCCACGGAACATGCGCCAGCCGCGAATAGCTCCGGCTTGGATGAAGCACGACAAGCAGGCTGAGATCACCTGGGGGCGAGCGCGTTGATACAACTTGTGAGCGGAAGGAGAGAAGTTTCCGGTTTAGGATTTGTGGTTCGCATCAGAGGGGTTCCAATTCTAGACCAGGTTCAGGTTCATGTCTATTTGGGGTTGAGATGATCGCGTTGAGGTTGGAGGATAGGTGCCAGGTTGTTCCAAACCGCTAGTCGACTTCGGGTCTTAAGCGAATCTTAAAGCAGCCTTTGCGACCATCAGTTGCCATCAGGGGAGGAAAGCGGTGAAAGGTGCTAATCGCATTCGACCCCGTGAAACTAGGTACTTATAGTCGCGGCAATAAATAGTATAGTAGACACAAGAATATCACTGGTAGTCATAGTGACGCTAGAAACTTATGTGCCGGTAATGCTCCGCATGGTGGCCCTCGCTTGTCAGGTGCCCGGCCGCATCCAAAGGGCGTGTTGCAATATTGGGAAGCATTTCAAGGGCAAAATAGGCAAACAGACCAGTACCGGTAGCGCCAGTACGCGTGGTAGTCGTATCATCAGAGTGACCACAGCACAAGTTGTTCTAAAGGTCATACCGCCATGTGGCAGGTTCTCCGATTCTACGGCTTCTTCCAGGACTACCTGTCGCATGTGCGTTTGCATTCATGAGGTTTTGGAAGTTTAGTTTATTCTTGCAGGCTGTTGCTATGGTCTCGTCAGCCATGGGGCGTTCGGACAAGTTTGTTTTCTACGGCATGAGCCTTGAACCCGAAAGGCACCATACCTAAACCCTAACTACCCTAACAACCTACGGGTTCAATGGATCTGGTAGAAGTCAGGCTTCGCTTGAAAGCAGTGGCTTTGACAGTGCCGTGATAGCACCTGCGTGGCCGAAGCAACGTGTCCTAGCCTTGAAGTAACCCATAAGGGGACCTTATTATAGAATCCTATAGTACCCTTTATGGGGACCCTGTTATGGAACCCTGAAGTAACCCTTGAAGGGATCTTCCAGGAACCTATCCTAAACTTCAATCACCGTGGCAGTAGCAGTCCCGAAACAGAAGATATCAGGGCCCCAGTCTACCGGCCGTAATAATTGGAATAGGGGTTTGGGGCCCATTATAGAATACTTATAATAGGCAACCCCCCAGCATAATATTGGTAAGTATTCAGCCCCCTATATGGGTAGTTGTCAAAATTGTAGTCCCTTTTTGGGTCCTTATTATAATACGGCACCTATTATTTAGGGTACCCCCAAAGGGACCATGATTTTGACAGCTACACACTTGTGTCTTGTGGCAAGTGTTGCAGTAAGTGGGAGTTGCTGGAAATATTTCATCATCCTCAAGCCACATCCGCAAATTAACCCAAAGACGCCCTGCGCCCTAAATGCTTTGCGAGGGTCCAAACGCCTGTACCAGCAAAGCTGCCTGTGTCGCCAGCAGTTGTATCCCTAGCATAAGCCTGAAGCCTCTGCAAAACCGAGCTGTCGTGGTTGCTTTACCTATGCCCTAAACTTGCCCTAAACCATAAATTCCAGGTTCAGCCAATCGCGCTCTCTCTCTCTCTCTCGCGCTCTCGCTCCCGCTCTTGCTCTCTCTCTCTCTCTCTTTCTTTCTTCCTTCCTTTCTTTCTCTGTTTCTTTCTTTCTTTCTCTTTCTCTCTCTCTCTCTCTCTCTTCATTATCCTTGTTATCCTTGCCATCGTCGAAATCAGACTAGGACGAGGGTCTTCGTCACTCTCGTTTGCAGCACGAATGTGCTATCGCTTGCATCATTATCACCATCATCATCGTCATCGTTTTTTAGTTCGGTGGCAGCGCTCTGCCTTTGTGCAATGATGCCAACGTCGCAGCACCTGATATCAACCCTAAATCCAAAATCTTGGACCTTTAACCCAAGACCCCAATCCGGCCTTAGGCAAAGCCGATTGAACAATATACAAGCATAGACCCTGAACTTTCCATAGCAACTCCAAGGAGACAGTGACCGAGCGCCCCGACGAGAACAGCCGGGTCCGGCAGGTATCCATCATGTTTCACATGGAGGACGGACGTGGTTCCAGAAGCCTAGGCCGAATGGGGGTCGGAAAAGTTGATAATGTCTGCTTATGGTCCCTTTTATTCCGCACGTAATCATAGCATAATGTGGCCTCCAAAACCTTATTCTAATCATAAAGTCGTTGAACACAAGCCGTTTGAAGTTTATTTCATAGCACCCCCAACAGATCCTAAGCCACACAGTTTCAACCCTATCCGTTAATCTCCCTGGCCCAAACCCTAAACCGCAGCATGTAATATAGGGGGCCCTTAATTGGAAGGGTGTTTGTTAGTTAGGGTTCCTAATTATTATTGCAGCGGTTTATCCCACCACAACCAGTGCTAATAACCCTAAACCCTAAACCCTAGACCCTAAACCCTAAACCCTAATTATTGCTAAACCCTAAGCCCCGAGCGACCTTCACAGATCCCTGCAGGAGAGCCGCTATCTCTAAGGCTCTTGTCTTGGGTGCTTGTTTAGCTTGTTGTGGTTTTATGGTTTCTGGCCAAGGGATCTCCAAGAAATTCATGTTTTGCATTCTGCCTAAGGGTTTAGGGTTTAGGGTTTAGGGTTTAGGGTCTAGGGGCAATACCCTCATCGACCCGTTAAGAACGCAACGTGTACAAGCAGCCGCTACAGAGTCTTCACGGAACTGCCATGAACTACTTGCGCTGGCCGGCTGGGAAGGTTGCCTGACTGGCGAGTTGCTTGTCCGGATTCTTCAATCAAGAAATATGCCTGTTCATATTAGCTAGAATAACAAACTGCGAATAGGCAACCCTTTTAGGAGCACATCACAAAGAGCCTTCGATACCTGCAACAAAAGGCTACATCCCCGTGAGCCCGTGCCCGTGCTGCATTATATAGAAACATCCCTAAACCCTGATCTTAATCTCTACCCCTTCCAGCCTTCAACCCTAAAGCCCTAAAGACTAGACGCACCTTCTGGTCTTTGCCCTAAACCCTAAACCCTAAACCCTAAACCCTAAACCCTAAACCCTAAACCCTAAACCCTAAACCCTAAACCCCTGATACCAGTACTTGGGAGGACGGCACCCTAGCCATGAACGAGCCCAAGGCCGGAGATCCTGGCAAGGAAGGATCATAGGGCTTAGGGTTTAGGGTTTAAGGTTTGGCTCAAGCCATTTTGGCTCAAGCCATATGGTTACGAGACTCAAACGAGTGCCCCAATTAGAATCTTTCGCATGCCCTCGCTGCCATGATTCCCGACACGGGTCGCAAACTATCCTCATGCATTGCCTACGCGAGGAGGCTTTCCAAGCGTGAGGGATATGAGTGCGTGTCCTGCTATCTTCAGCAAGCTCTGCTTACACTGATTGCTGACGTGAAGACGAGGCTTGGACCAGCTGAAATCAATGAAGATGGGAACAAGAGACGTAAATTATGTCTGGTTCAAGCACTTGGCCTTGAACTGGAATCTGTTGACCAGGCTGTAGGTGACTCCTTCTCTACACGAAACGGATGTTGATATTATTGCCAGACCTGTGTGTGAGCGCTTGATGGCGGAGATGGCGCGAAGCTGTGAAGCCAAGCTACTGCACATGGGACAGTTGCTGCAGACTGAAAAGGCCCTTGTTCTGCAGCTTCGTGAGCAGGTCCTTACCTTGACTGCTTCAGACAAGACCGCTGCAGAGGATGCAATGCCTCTGCTCTCACGCAGGCCACATACTTCTTCGCGTTCAGGTCTTGTGGACGCCGCCGACTCTGCTGCTCAGTTCGGGAATGGTATGGATACAGTGCCTCTGCTCTCACGCAAGCCACTTGCTCCTTCGTGTTCAAGTCTTGAGGATGCGGCCGTTTCTGCTGCTCAGTTCGGGGATGGTCTGCAGGAGCCACTGCATGATGGTCTATCTTTGTCGGAGATCAAACAGGAACACGCGCGGAAAAGGATAGAGGCCAAGGCAAAGAGAAGGCAGGAACGTCATGAACGCTTGGTGCAAAATTCGAGCGGGTAGCGCGGAGAGCTTGCTCCCACGACTCGGAGCATGTTTTTGCCGTCTTCTGATTGCGTACTGACATTTTCGGGCCTCGGCTGAAGAACGGCAGCTAAGGCAATGCTGGCAGTCATCAAGTCCGGTTTCAAAAGGGTTTAAGG